TACCATTTGCAGAATAAGCCAACCATTGTATCCCAGCTCCTATTTAAATATTATCATTTCTCTTTTCGATTAGATAATTTCAAATTAAACAGTACTTTAAATATGGTTTATCATTAATGAATTAGGTTAAAAGGTTGTCAAGTTTTCAAATATACAATGCATATGTGCTTACGAAAAGTTACTCAATTAAGTGAAAATAAATTAGACAACCTTCAGCACTTTGCTCTTTTGGTATCAGTGGTGGACTGACACCTTTGGTTTTATAAAGAATCTTTCCATTCTTATCTAATATATGCAAATGATTAGGATTATCATAGTCAGGATAAGATAGAAGTACGTCATATTTCACATAATGCACATCTGTAATGTTAATATTATCAAATAATACATTAAAATCATTTTAATCTATTCATCAATCCTTCTTTAAATTTTAAGCTATTTCATCTTTCTTGCAAACATCACTTTGCTATATAATTCAAATATTTTACTTCGTTTCATTATACCATCTAAAATCTTTACTGATCATTTAAAACGAACAAAAAAGAAGACTCTTGATTAATTTACCTTCTAAGCCATTAACTTTCCAAAGTTCTGATATCTTTTCAGCTACCTTAGCATTTGCTTTTGTCCCAGCTGAATGCGGTAAAGTAGTGAATGATTGCAAATTTTCCGCAATGTTATGACCATTTATATTTGAAATTAAAATATCAATCATGCGTGAATGATCATCTAAAAATTATTTAAATTAGTTCATTAAAGTAAAAAATTCCTAACTATAGGATGACCTAAACTTGTTATTAGTATAAATATATATTTGATTATGTTACAGAATTTAGGACCAATGGCAAAAAATGTAATAACTCTATAAACAAGTACATTTTTTAATTTATTACATTTTATCATCTTGATAATTTATACAATATTATCATTCATGACTATACTTCTATCATTTTGTAAATACGTTCAATGATGTTGATTTAAGCAATCATTTTCAATTCTTTATTTGCAGTTTCATTTTAATAACAAATTTATGCTCGAATATGTGATATCAAATATCACTTTAAAAATGAATCTCTGCACATTTGCTTGGAAAAGCTACATCTTTTACACACTTACTTGACAGATTTCATCCGCAAATATATTTAATAAAATTGGCGTACTTAAAAATGAAACAGAAAAATTTAATTAACCTTTCGAAATGTTTTTAAGCTTGGTTGTCTTTATTGAATGCGAATTATGATAAACGCCAAGAAAACCAACGAGAAAAATAGACATAAAGCCAATTCCAAGTAACGAAATTGCTTTTAGCATCGTTCGATCGCATAAATTATTTACTAAAAATTATATAAACGCATTGAAGCCATTGTAAGCAAATTTCCAATCTTTTTTATTCATTTTTAATCAATTTACGACCATAATTTTCTCTTTGTGTTCTGATTTTAACAATTTCATTCTTTACGTCATCCAGTTCTTCAATCAAAATTTCGCTAATTAAAAGTCCGATTTTTTTTTTGAAAAAAGTTAACTTTTAAAAACAACAGAAGCAAAAAAATAATTTGAAAATGGAAAATTTAAACTAAATGTAATAAACTTCGATTTTTACCGATATTTAATTAGTTGGTTTTAAAGTGTTGTATAGCTGCTAAGCAAAAAAGAGTTTAGCAAACTAATTAGCTAAATGATTGATGAATTATACCTTCGGCACTTCTTGCGGACATCATTTTATTTTCATATTTCAAGCGAAAAATAACTACACTGATGAAAAATTGAAACAACGTATCGTCCTGTTGGATAATAGAGCATTAAAATATAAATTGACTGTAAAATATGCAAAAAGTCTTCAATATTTAAGCGTAAAAGTTTAGCTACTCTTAGAATTTAAAACTAAAATGTACAAATACTGCTTGTAGCATAATACCATCAAATATAAAGTTTTTCGGAAAATAAATTTGTTCTTCCAAACAATAATCCTTTTTTTCTCCCTCTTTTTCTTCCAAATTTTGTTTTTCATTTCATTTCTTCTTTCAACTTCAATTAACGAACAACAATGATTACATCAGTTTCTAAATGCTTAAATATTGACTGAAACTTTAAATTAAAACTAAAATTTCGGCTATCAAATTGACAGACAACTGCTTAGCAATATAACACCTGCTGAATGAGCGGAATGAACAAAGTGAACCATAGCTTAAAACATTTAGAAAGCTTAGAAATTTTTATGTAACCTTTTTTCACCTATTTCCGGTCCCGTAACAATGCCAATATTAACAGCAATCTATAAAAAAAATAATTTTTTCATGCAACCTTATTTTTTTTAACTATTCCCGTCCCCTAACAATGGTAACATCAACAGCAAGTTATTTCATTCATTTAAAAACATAACAACTGTTAATTCAATTGCAATTACAAAATTCTATTTTGAATATAGCTGATAAAATCTAACTCTGAATGTGCCTATAAAATTCATAAATTCAATTTATAATGTAGCTGCACTCTTAATATGCTTTTAATATGGCTACGAATTTCGTTGTCAGCTAACATACTACTTTCGAGAATTTTTTTATCCAAATTAGTCACTAATAAAACATAAGTTGAATGTGGCCAAATTTTTAGTATGAATTTGAAAACATGAATACAGCAACCTTTTCGTAATAATGCCTATTTGGCATGCATATATAATTAACAAATAAGCTCTCAACTGAATGCAATTTCTTTTAGCATGAAATAGGAAATTTCAAGCTAAGATTATCTGATCTATCAGATTAACAATCTAATGCAACTAATCTTTCAGCAAATTTTAAATTTATTTTCCTGAGAGCTTAAAAAAGTCTAATGATATTAATAAACCAAATCGAAACCAACATAACTGTCACTGGCATTATCGGTAATGACAATCATTAATCATTTTAAAGAGAAAATGACAAAAGATTATGATAAATAGTAGAAAGATCGAACAACGAATGGAATAAAACACTCCCGAGCCATTTAATAATCAATAAAATGGCTAAATGATATATTGAGAAGGCCATAATTTTAGCCAGCATACTTTACCTACTTCATTTTTATCTTTACTAATTTCTTTACTTCGATGGATCAAAAATGAGAGATTTTCCTCATATTTGTGATATTCATTTGAGATAAAAATGAAATAAAAAATTATGATAATGCTTATATATTTAAATTTTTATAATGCATTATTACATTTAAATAACATACATCCGATTTAATTACAAAGTAGGAATCACTTTTAAAATTAATTAAACATTACATTTGACTAACTTTTTATTGTTAATATTCCATTGATGATCCATTGAAAAAATTGCTTAAGTGAGCAATGAAAACAAGTATTTAAATCACTAACGCTGAAAAACAGAAAAATGAAATTTTGAAAAAAATAAAAAGTAGAAAGGAAAGAGAAAGAGAGAAAAATGATGAAAGTCAAAAAAATTTATGAAAAATAAAACAAACATTGAACAAAAATGAATGAAATAAATTTAAATCAGTAGCTCTTATTACTCTTACAGTTGAGTGGAAAAAAATTTCGATTCTTAAAAATTAATGAAAAAAAGGAAGAAGATTTTAAACATAAAATTGAAGTGAATCCACTAAAAGCAAACTAATGAATGATTTAGGGAAAAAAGAATGGAAAAGACAAATGTATTTGTATTGCGACGAATTCCCAATAGTATTGTTTTAGATCTGTTTAAAAAAACGCGTAAATGAGTGCTTTTTTAAAAAGATTTTTCTAAATTTTTCTTCCATTCTATTCTCTCTCACATTTATCCACCTATCTTTTATCTTTACCTAATCATTAGCATTTGTTTATGTAATTAATAAAATGGGGAATTTTTTTTATCTTTTTGTTTTCGACCATTATCGAATAACAATATGATCAGACAAAGTGCAAAATAACGTAGCATTTTCATAAATATTTTTCTTTGTGGGGAAGGAACTGTATAGTTCATTGGTCATGGAATGTTGATAGCATAATTTTATAGCATATATGATTAACCGCAATTTTTTGTGGAATAAAGATCACCAATTAATGTAAAAAAATGAATAGCAAAGACAGAAATATATGAGCATATATTATCAGACGATTCTTTGTTTAATAAAATATTGAAATATAAATTTAAAAATGCTTTAACAAAATTTAACGCTTAAAATGGCTAGATCAAATTGAATATTTATTTATAAAAAGAGCTTATTAACTATCCTTCCGGAAAATTACACTTGCTTTTGATTTTATTTCGCTTGAATTTCTTTTTCTTAAGTAATATTATATACATATTTTCCCTAAGAAAATTTTGCGACTGTTATTTCTTAAGAACTTCAAATAGTCACATACGTTGTAAAATTGAACAAAACTTCCATTTTTAAGAGGAACAAGCACATTTCAAAAACTAAAAGGCTAAATATATCGTTCGATTAAGCCTCAAAATGGAATATAACAGCCAACTAAACTTACCCAAATGCAAACATCAACAAATGGGCACTTTCCACAATTATTGGATTGTTTATTTCAATAATAATCCAAAGAAAAGTGTCAGACAGCTATTATTGTTATATATATATATACAACAAATATTAACGATAAGTAAAGATGAAAGATGAATCAATAAATATGAGAGAGGTAAGAATGCAAGAAAAGTTAAAATACCATTTTTTTATTACTCATTTTTCGATTTCATGAAAAATAAATAAAAAAAAATAAATCAAAAAAATGTTTTGCGAGATTTTATTATACCATTGGGAATTACACTATTGCGTAATTACACTATTCCTCCTCTTTTTCGTTAAATATTTTCTTGAAAGCTTTCAGCAATTAGCTTCCGACCCTCGAATTAATTCCCACTTGATCCTAATGTGAGGGATAACTTTCGGAATCAACAAATGGAAAAAAACAGTGTTACATCACTTTGGTATGGTTTGTAATGCTATGACAGACAATAAGCTGGATTGTATAGTAGTAGCTTTGATAAAGCTCGTAGCGGTGGAATATAGGTTTATCGATTGATTTTTTTAGATTGAAAATACTGCAATTGGCTATTGAAATTAATCCAGAGTATTTGTTCTTTAACACTGTTACATTATATAGGAATTAATCGAATCATTTTTAAGTGCAAACAATCATGATAAAAACAGTTGAATTAAACACCATCAATTATTGTAAATTTACCATTTGGAGGTAGACGATTTCGAAAATAAAATTTTATCAAAAATTAAAGGACATAAAATTGCTAGCATAGAAATTATTATTTTCTGATATTTTTATAATCAATTTCATTCATTTGTAAGAAAATTTCATCTTCGCAATTTTTTGATAAGTTTGTTATTATCGCAAGCAAATGATGTTTCTTAGTCCTTTTTTGATTGCATATTCAGCACAATTAATTCATTTCAGAAAAAGCGCGTTTATTCAACATAAGCAAAATATGACATTAACTTGAATAATTTTTTTGAGTTGAGAAATAGCGCTTGAATTTTTTTTAATTTTTCAATTCAACTAAAAGTATAATTATACATCACCTAAGTACAAATTATTCGTTGCTTAGACATATTTGCATCAATTTATCACTCTAATTTTGGTAATTAGTTATTCAATTTATTCAAGTAATAGATTTTCGATCTAATGGATTCAAAAAAAAATCTTTTGAAAAAACTATTTTTGCCATTTTTTAAAATAATTGCATAGTTCTTTAAATGTTTGCTTGCATCACTAACACTAATTGGTGTATGTCGTAAATTTTCCTAATTGCCATTTTTTTATTGCTACCGAATTGGAGCTTTATTGTTTGATAAATACTGTGCATGAAATAATCTGAGGATTATCATTCTTTCATTAAATATTTCATTCCATTACTGACAGAAATTTGGAGATTGTTTGGTATTTGGTATAATGTAAGTAGTAAGTTTACTCCAATTAATTAAAAGTTTGAAAAAAGGCATTTAATTAGGCGGAAGTATTAACTGAGATTAACCAAGAATTGAAAATTAAGCAGTTTGCAAAAATATTTAAAGCATTATCCATGCTTATTTGCATTATCCATTTTCAACAAATAGTGGCAGAATTAAAGGTTAATGCATTTAATATTTATTGATAATAGTAATAAGTATTAGTAAAATAAAATTAATCATGATATTAACAAATTTTTAAAAAATTTTGAAAGATATTTTCTAAACAGCTGAACTGTTAAAAATAATATTTTCTAAACCGGTTTCAGTAAGATCTAATCATTTCATTGCTTGGTTTTTATAACTTTTCATACTCTTTTTACTGAAATTTGTTTGAGCATTTCAAGTAGCAGTTTTAAATATTTTCTAGATATTCAACTATTTCTTTTTCTACTTTTAAAATATCCAAATGCAATTTTTTGCCATACAGAAATATTCGGAAATTTGTTAAATTTATTACAGTATCAAAATTGACTAATTTCATTTAAATAATATAATAGAAACGAATATATTGTGAATTATTTTTGCACAGTCAGAATAAAATATATGAAAGGAAAAAAAATTTGATTAATTACTTTTGTGATAGAATGCATGAGAGAAAATGAATAAATCATGAGAAGGCTCACTAATTTTGATGAAATTTCATATATGTTTATTAAAATAAAGAATTAATATTCTCAAATATTAACGCAGTTTGTTATGATCAATTTATTATTGTATGTAAAGATAGTCGTTACACGCATATCTATTTAAAAATAAGATTAAAGTTTCATTCTTTTATTTTTTTTTCATTATCACTGAAATTGCAGAGTAATTTTGTTCTAGTAATAATTCATTCGAATTATTTCTTCCATTATAAAGAATGACTTTTTTCTTTTTTAACAATTAAACAGTTGTTCAAGAGAATGAAATATTTTTAAATTTCCGGTTTTTATGCAATTTTTTGCAGATTTATTTCAACAGGTAATAGCAATGAGTGGCAATGCGGAATGTGCGTGGGCAGTTGCGGAAAAGCAACGAATCATTGATGTATGCAAACAATTCGCTCGTAAAGTTGGATGGAAAAAAAATGGAGAAGGTTTGTTAAAATAGAAGGAAGAAGTTATTATAAATTTTATAAAATATCAATTGAATTTTAAGACTAAAATTTATGCAAAATAGTGAAAATAAAATTTGCTCGACTGAAAATTTCTTTTTCTTGCATTAAAGAGTATTGCTAAGAGTTTAACAGACAAAAAGATTATCTCTTATATCGTATATACATTATTCGAAATTATTTTATGACATTTTCTACTTTGAAGTTAATTAAAATTTATATTATCATAATTTTCAATAATTTAACTTCACCGCAACTATATATATCGAAGATTTTGTATTTTAAATAATCATTTTTGTGCAATCGGATGACATTCCATTAAATAAAATAGAAAAATCTCACAGAGATGTCCTATATTAGCCATTATTGATAACGATTATTTATTTCCGTTTAATCAGCATTTATTGGTAGATTTATTATTTTTTGAATTCAAATTAAAAATAAAATCTTTTGTAAGGTCGCGAATATCATGTTGAAATGCTGAATTATTTGCGAACTTTGCCAGCAAAAATATTCGAAGGTTCCATCTTTAGTCGTAATTGGATAAATGCAAGCCGCACAGGTATTATATTAGCACCTGTGATTGACGGCGATTTCTTACCAAAATCAATCAAAGAATTAAGGAAGGAAGCACCGATTAAAAGTTGTATAGTTGGAACATGTAAATATGAAAGTTTAGTTTTTGGTTCGTTAATTTCCATCTTAAAAATTAC